TCTACGTAGGTAAATGACATCGCTGGGAAAAGCCGAAGGGTGCTGCATGTATGTATGTATGTATGAGTGTAATGAGGGAAAACCGCTCATTTTTTGCGACTCCTTGCGATATGTCAAAAGACGAGTGCCGTTGCAGAGTTGTGTTTTTGCAATGCAAAGGAAATGCAGCGTGCGTGCCCATATATACATACATATGTACATGCATAGTACGTACATGCGCGCAACGAGGTTGCCGGATATGAAGGAATTGTCATAAAAATAGCTGGTGTTATTTTTACTTGTAATGAGGTATGTAATATGAGATCGCAGAAGAGTAATTTAATAGCATTTTAATTTGTAAAATCTTTAAGTTTTGTATGAAAAAATAGTTGCTCGCTAGATTTTACGATAGAATTCTTAAGAAAGAATAATGTAAGATAACCAGCGACCGAACATAACAGTTATTGATGAAAACAGTAATTGAAAAACTCGCTATGAAGGAAATATTCTACAACTAAAGGCCAAATTAGATGTGCCGTAACCATAACGCCTTAGCCATAACGTAGCAAAATACTTCAGAGCTGCTTATGGATATGGTTATGTCGAATAACATAAAAGAGATACCTACGGTTATGGTTATGGCTCTGGCGTTATAATTACGGTGACCATATTTATGGAAGCCGAATACGGGACGAAAATAATTTTTTCCACAAAATCTAAGATATCTTAAAAGCTTCTTCAATGATCCTAGAAGTATTCGCCCTAAAACAGCATGCTTTTCTCGAGATTTTTACCACGCGAAATTTGATTAAATAAAATCGTTAAATTTTAGGATAATAAAATGCAAGTGCAATCAGTCAGTTGAAATTCGAAGGCGTTCAGGCGAAGAGGTTCTTCCGATAAAAAAAGAATCAAACAGAAGCAATAAGACATGCCTGTTTACTCGTACTATAAGCAAGTAATTTTTAGCGAAAAAAAACTATTTTTAAGGGGGGGTTAAGATGGACAGAACTGTTGTATTGGCTTTTCTTTGGCTCGTATACGGGATAACTATTTATACTCAAAGGAAAGTATTTGTGTATTGACTTTACAAATCGGCAAATCAATCATTGATCATCTGGCAGTCAGAGAACTAACGCTTTTATAGCACATGCGGTATGATGAATGATACACAAACTGACTCTTCAAAACAAAAAAACAAAAAACACACTACAAGACTCATGCATAATTGCAACTGTCGACAAACGTCAAATGCCAAATTGTTGAAGCGACAGTCGCCAGTACAGAAAACCATAATCAATAATACCAACAATTGCAGGCACGAATGGAGTGAGAAGTATCAATAAAGGACTGTACGAGTAAAAATATGCCAAAGTATGAACAATACGCTGACGCTGTATTTATGTACAAATATCTGTATGTTTTGACATATCTACACTCATGCTTATGTGCATACTACACACAAATAGGCCTGTGACCTTTTTATGGCGCGTCAGTACAATGGCAGCAGCAGTACCAACTGATAAAAGCTAGCAAAGCTTGATGATGAATAGGCGCTCTAGTGGGCAATAACGTCCATACAATGCATTGGCCAAAGCAATTGCAATGAATAGCAAAGCGTGTATACAGTATACAGTCCGACAAGTACGAGAAGTAAACAAGTAGCAAAAGCAACAACAACATTATCAACAACACCGAATATGTACTGCATTTATAATGGTCATCAAGCTGGTTACATACACACGAGTACGTATGTATATAGAAGGAACCATTGCAGCGGCAAACATTGTGGCAGCTGAGTGAAACTCCATTTCCTTATTGCGCGAATATTGTGACGGATTGGATTTGCAAGCTGCAATTTTCTTGTTGTTGTTGTTGTGCTTTTTTTTCATACATTTGTGTATGTCTGTACGTACGAATAAACACATGTCGCCTTTTTTTGGCTATGCCAAGTGGACAGACACCATTTAACGATCAGCAATGCAGTTGGATACGACATTCGTCAGCGCGCGCATATATAAACAAACACTCGAGTAGAGGAGAAGAAGTGAAGTGTTAGCAAAGTGTTTTCACTTGCCCATAAGCAATGCAGCGCCCACTCTCTGCCTCTTTTTCTTCAAGCGTTTTTTTTTTTGCCAATTGGCGACTTTTCATGTGTATGTACATACTTAATTTTTTCGAATGTATGTAGGTACGTATTGTATTTTCTTTTTCTGCTTCAATGAAGTTTTTCGCACACCCATATGAACGTTTTTGCTGTCGGCCTGGTCCGTACATAAGTACCGTATAAATGCAATTTATAACCGTTTAATAACCATTCATGTAATTTTTATTGGTTTTTTATGCATTTGTACTTATCTATGTACATACATACATATATATATTCACACGTATGTATATACATAAGTGCTTAGTATGAAATTTTCATTTTTAGCAAATTCAGTAAAGGCAGTAATTGCCAAGTAAGCAGAATTTTTTCTGGTGGTTTTGGTTTCAATTTCTGCTCCATAGCTTTTAAAATACGAATATTTCTTGAAAAGCATTTTCTTGGCAAACGTATGGTTTGTCATTAACAAATTTAATGAAGTTTTAAGAATTGGTGCAGCTGTGTTTTATTGAATAAAGCGAAATAAAAACAGCAATATTATTTTTAATGGTTTTCGTTTGAGATTAAACACTTTTTGTGTTGCGAAACATCTTTCGATTGTTTTTTTTTTAAGGAAACTACCTATTTGAACAAAGATAAATATTTCCTTTTTGGCTGTTGTTGTTTCCGACGGGATGGGTGTGTGATGTATTTTGGAACGAATTTCCGTCATCCCTTGTCAAATTTGGTTTGGAGACAAACCGGTTTCGGCGTTATGCCATCTTCAGTGTTATTTTTCGGAGAACGAAATGCGTTCCAAAATACAAAGATTGATGAAAGGTTGATGAAAATTATGAGATATGAAAATTTTTTAGGAGGCCTAAAGTCGATTTTGTACCAAATGCCTCAAAACAGATTAACCAAAGGACAGAATGAACTTATTTCATACTTTTAAATTGAAATATGGATGATATTTAAACGCAACTGAGTTCTTGGAATGGGATACTTGAACCACAAAAAGAATTTATTCGTCCTTTTATTTATACTTATTTCGCAATAGAAAATTGTATTTACATACTTATATTTGGGGTATTCACACCGGTGTCGTAAGTGTCGTATTGTTGTATGTCGTAAACTTTAAACGCCCAAAAAGTATATTATGGGGGTTCGCAAAGTACCATCAAAGTGATATAATGTGGAACGATTTTCCGTCATCCCTTGTCAAATGATGAAATCAATTTCGCAGGGACTCTTCGATGAGTAGTGGTTTGAGCTTCGATAAATGGTGGTTGAGCTTCGATGACGAGATTAAGGAGAAGACAGTTGGTAAAGGTTGTGATGGTCTCTCGGTGAATGTCGCTTAAGGCTTGTCTGAAAGCAATTAAAATCTGGATCTCATCTGTGAAGTAGAAATAGATTCTTCTTCATCTTTTTATTTGACTCTGTAACCGCCTAAGCGATTTTGGTCGAGTTCAAAAAAAGCACGCAAGTCGTTTCTCTTCTGTGCCAACTGACGCCAATTAAAAATGCCTCTTCATCAGCTACCACCAGCGTGTTCCAAGATGAATACTTCCAGAGCTGGAGCGTTTCTGTTCATCCGAAGGACATGACCTAGCCACTGGAGCGGCCGAATTTTAATCCGTTGCGCTATGTCCTCAGTCCGTTATCGGCCGTTTCGTCGTGGAAGCTGTTTTTCGCTGCCTTGCCCACCATGGCATTAAAATCGCTAAGCATGATTTTTAAATCGTGACCGGGGGCAGCCCTCGTATATGTTTTCCAAGGGCTCATAAAAGAGATCCTTGTATGCTTCGTCCTTCTCCTTCGCCGGGGCTTGGGCGCAAATGAGCGAGATTTTGGAGAATCTTGCTTTGATGCAGATTGTGACGAGACGCTCGTCCACCGGGCTGAACGACAGTACTCGACGACGGAGTCGCTATAACACCACAAATCCAACACAGAATTCGCTCTCCTTTACATAGCAGTTGTAGTATACGTCGCAAGGCCCCAGACATTTTTTTACCTTTTCCCGTCCAACGCGGTTAATGGCGGTGATGTCAGCTTTAATCCCTATGATGGCATCAACCAGCCGGACAGAGGCATCTTTCCCATTCAGGGTCCGGACATGCACTCAAATCGTAGTTCTTTAAACGTTTGCCGAGTCGTTATAAAAAGAGGGGTCTCATCCGAGTCTTTATTTTTGCTATTCGCTAGAGGAAGGTTTTACGTGGTCAGTACCCAACCCAGTGCACAACACATTGCTGGGAGAAGTTATTGTAGAAATAGGGTTTTCTAGCGGGGAGGATTATTTAACTAAATCGGCATTATTCGGTGAACACATTTCATTAAATTAAAGTGCTTTGGATCGAAATTTCTCTCCACATGAGAAACTTTAAACCATGTTCAATGTTTGGAATAAGCTTGGGAGCTAACTTTCCTTTAGCGCATTTCACCCATAATTTCTAGAGCCTTTTTTCGCTATGTGGTAGTTTGAGCTTCCAGTATTAGGCATAAGAATAAACGATATCTTCATCTCATTTGCAAAACTGTTTAGGTGTTTCAACTCGACAATAAATACGTAAAAGAGCGATTTGTCGGATATTATACGGAGATAACAAATCGCTATTAGAAGCGCTTTTAGAGGACGAGTTAACTCTCGTCAAATATGAGTGAACTCTTCTTACTAAGGCGGTAAGCGTTAAGACTGCTACTTATAGCAGTTCTAGGAACTTGTATGCTTCCTTATGGATGGTTTTTACAGTTAGAAACCCTAAGAGAAATCCTCCTTCGGAATAATATGTAGATATATTAAAGATAGATGAGATAGTGGATCTACTCATGCAGACTATAAATATAAACTTTACTCTTATTTTTGCCTTAAGACTTTCATTCATTTCACTTAAACCGTGAATAAAATATGTAAATTCTCCAAACTCACCTGATCAGCAGCACAGTTAACGCTGGCCAACAGGACAAACAGCGCGACTGCAAATAAAAGCTTTCTGCTGCCACTAACGGCGACATGGGACGGTGTTAGGCCGGTCAAAACGCCACCAGCCGCGCGCCGTTTGCCTGCCGTCATCTCCGATTCCAACGTTGACAATGACATCCAACTAGTTGATGTTGACGATGCCTTTTTGTTGATATTATACATTGTTGTTGCTAATTGCGCAGTGTTATTGCTAGATATACGTTAAACGACGTATAAAAAAAAACAGGAATAAAGATCCCAGAGATGTTCCTTTTATTTTTTTTTTGCTTCAACTCTATTTTGAAAGCCTAAAATCGGCGCACAATGGCGACGGAATAAATGGAAAATTAAATAAGCTCTATTTTATTTATTTTTTTTTTCACACTTTTACGCACTGCTTAAACCACTTAAATTTGAACTTATTTATTTGATTTTATTTAATTTTCTACATCGATTTTTTTTTTTTTGCACGCGTGTAAGTGCCGACCTTTTATTTATTTATTTAATTTTATAATTTCAAGCAATTGGCTATAACTTGATTATTTCTTCTTTTACACCGATTTTATTATCCTCTGACTTTTTCCGCAATCGATTACAACGCAGCTACCGTACGCAATTTCGCACTCTCAAGAGCCTAACCCTACCGACAACTCTCCACTGCACTGCTGCCTTGTCATCGCAATAAGCGCTATTGAAACGTAACGAAAGGTTGCGTGTTGCGGCCCCTTTTCATTAAATGTAATAAAAACAATATACAAAAATTAACCCATCAAGAGGGAGGCTAGCAAGCAGACGGACCAGGTCGGCAAACATCAAAGTGACCAGTAGACGTGTACGCGCCGCCGTGAAGTCGTCGAAAAAAAATACATTGAAAAAATAACTATTTATGTACATACTTGGTAAAACAAAATGAAGCAATGAACTAGTCGGCGAATTCCCCAAAGAGGGTTAAGTGAAGCGGAGTTCAAACAGCCGTGGCGCAAAGTGTATGCGGAGCAGACAAGTACGCACACTTATTTATGTCTACCTACATATACATACATTTATATGTATGTATGTACTACATATGCATTAGGGTGATCTTTAAAAATCAAATGAACGATTCTTTCAGTCCCACCCCTCAATCGGTAATACCACGGTTACATATATCACATATAAATTTTGGTACCGGTTGGAGTCGGTTAAGACGTCATCTGAAATTTTACCCTTGTGCAACACGCCTTAACAGACTTTTGGGTATTAGATGAAAAAAAGTTAATTTTAATTTTTTTCGTCTCCATAGAGGAATATGAACTTTGCACCCTGCACCTGGTTAAGATGTGCCTAACCGCCTACAATCGGTATGAAAATATATTTGTGATAAATAAATGTAAGTTAAAAATAAAAAATTAAAATTTGTTTCCCACATTTAAGGATCACCCTAATATACATAGATTGCTAGAAATAAAAATGAACACAACAAATCGAAGATGTTGAAGATGATGATGAGTACGCTGAAAAATGATACAGTGGCCTCCAACGCGCCGTTCTCCTCCGCTGTAATGGTTACATAGGCGCAAAACTTGCTTGCGACTACAGAGCTGAGCCAGGGAAGGCAGAGGTGGGGGGTTGACGGCGCCTGCAGTGTAAACTGCATAGAGTGCCAAGGCAGCAAAGGTGCTTACGATGAACCGACCGAACAACGTTGATATCAACTGAGACGAAATTTTCACAATGCTACGCACATAAACACGACTTAAAACAAAGGTAAAAAAATTTTGAAAAATATATGTATGTATATGTAACAGACATAGGGAGTGGGACGCAACGGTATGCGACGCGACGCGGTATACGCATATTATGCTCTCAAACTCTGTACTCGTATGTACATTTGTATGTATGGATGTATGTATTTAGATATGGGTTGTTTGTGTATGCCATACACAGTCTGTCTCTTTGGGGAGCTAGTGGAGTCACTCACTCGCGCACGCACTTCAGTCTCCCAGCTGAGCAGTATAGCGAAATGCATAAACGAACGAAAAAAAGCTGCAAAAAGTAAAGCATAAAAAGAAATAACGTAACGACAGACGCATTGAACAATTGAAAATAATTATTTATTAATTAAACATTTATTTTTGCTTCGTTGCAAAATTTAACTTCGATCAGCACTTTGAATGCAGCCATTTTGAGGCGGCAACACTTGACACTTTGCCAGAGTATTGACAGCCGACCAAGAGAACGATCGACTGGCACTGGTATACTTTGTGACTATTTGACTTTTGTGGGCTGTGTGGAGTTGCGAGCGGGGTTGCGAGCGGGAAAGTCGTTGGCATTTGATTGCCTGCATGCAGAAGAAAAGTATGCACACACTTCTAAATAGTGCGCCGGCGAGCGGTGAAGTTAACCGATTTTCATTCTCAACAACAACAGCAACAGCAACACCAAAAATGCAGCCGACTTGTTTCTTTCTGTCTGGTGCAAGCTTGCACCGGCATTTTCACTGCATTAGTTCACTCAGCATTGCATTTGGCCATCAATTTGAAATTTTCCAGACTGTAGACGCACTCACGCATACATACATATATATATTTATTTTCCTCGCAAAATAACACAAACTTTTCAAAGCATTTTCATTCTCATTATTTTAATATTTTATCAACAAAGCTGGCAACTCGCTGCGCACTTAGTCGTTCTCACTGAAACACAAATATTTATTGTAATACACTGACTGGCTGAATGGCGCTGGCAAAAACGGCAGAGAAGCCACAGACGGAAAAATTGACTATTATTGAATTTATACGGTGAATAGAAAAGTATGGATAACGTTGGCTTTGGCGACGGCGCCTCCTACGCTGCTTTTGCCCACACACGGCAACACTCCTAGTAGCTCTTTTTGCTTACACGCACAGCGTCTGCTGCTCACACACTTACATATGTATGTAGATACGTACATACATGTACTCAAATAGTGTAATAAGTAGTTAGTTTCGTTTTTCGCGTAATTTAATTATTAAATACTTTTCACGCGAATGAAATTGTATTTGCCACACAAATTTCCATTCTTTTCTACTTCAACTTCACTTGCACTTTGCGCAGCTATCGGTTATTGGAATTTTTTTACCTTTTATGTACACTTGTATATTTTTTTTCTCCTGTTTTGTAATGGCTGTTTAATTTTTCGGTGCGTTTCTTCCGCACACAAATTTTCGATACGACCGCACCACGTCCAAATGTCGCAAACACTCAACGCGTTCAACTACGGCTGACTGCGTTATACCAGAATTTCCGATGGCCGCCAACGCTCAGTATGGCTGCTACATGCACACGTACACACGCGCAAACACTCATGCATTTATACTCTTTATCATGCTCTATGCTTTGTGCACTCTTTCACCGTTAATTGCATTTCCAGCAGCGGCGCGCTCAGTTGCATGTGTGGATTTTGGAATTTTCCAGGTATTGTGTGCTTGTATGGGTGTGCCAGCGCGAGAGGGAGAGTTTAATGTGAATGCGTGTTAGTGCAATGGTATGCGTGCGGAATTTTGTGAATACCCAATTTGCCTAATGATTTCGTATCGACGTCGTTTCCGACTAGACCGATGAGTAGCACAGTTCGCCGGCGAACAGCAAAAACGATATACTACTACCGATGCTCTAAATTTTTAACAAAAACCGTATTCGATTTCACCAGGCCGACATCGAATCGAATTCGATTCTATGGGTAAAAATTTAAGTCGGAACGACGCACAGTGGTTCAGCCCCATACATTTTTTGGAGAAAATTAGAAGGAGTAAGGACATAAATCAAGAAAAAAAAACGAAAAATAGGTGTTATCGGTTTATGTTAAAGCATACGTTCCATACGAACCTAACCTCAAAAACGCCTTAAAAATTGCATTTAAAAGGCACAGATTAACGTAGGACTCCGAAAATTTCGTCCATAAATTAACAATAATAGGGCAAGTAAACATACAAAATATTAGCAAGAGCGGTTTTCTTTAACGCATACTTCCCATACAAACCTAACCTCAAAAACGCTAACAATTTTCATTAGAAGCGCAGCGATGAGTGTACGACTCCGAAATTTTGTCGATATATTTGTAATAATTATATGGGTAGACGCCCTCAAAATATTGGAAAAAATAAAAATTTCATTAAATTTAATATTTATGTATACTGGATGGAAAATCAAATAATGTAAGAACATTTTTAATAATAGGACATATGCTTCTTAAGATAAACACTAAATGTTCTGTTAGAGTGATGTTCGTTTCAGAGTTCTGTCACTTGAAACAAGTATGTATTTTTAATTTTTTTTTTTATGTAGGTATATAATCCCATAACTTTACTGGCTTAGTTTTCAAACTTGAAATTGTATTTGCTGCCAAATCTTTTAAAACCGGATCATCCAAAAACGACAAAATTAGACCATCACCAATATAATTTTTTCCGCAGGAATACCACTGTGCGACGTTGCGTTTTGTATAAAAAAAACGAAATTATGTGAAATTTTGCATTTATGACTTTTACTTTTCCCTCTCTAAGCCGGTCTCAACCGGTTTTTTTTTATCAACTGTCAACCTGCACTAGTAGGCAAAAGAGCCATAGAGGACCAAAGACGAACCGTAAATCTTAATCGAAGCCGAACGGGACTTATGGCTTACAAAGAGATACACTGGCAACCAGCTTAGCGTGAACACCGTTAAGTTTTCTGTCTACCGAATACATGAACAGTTCCACAGTTGCTCTGAACTAATTACTCTCAGCATTTATTTTGGAATGCAATATAAAATTGTAAAGTTTCAACGAAATTGTTTAAGTACTTAGTAAAATTCTCTAAAACATTGCTATACTAACTCAAAATTTAAACTTGCCCTGCTGGGGATTGGAGTTGCCATTGCCCAATGCCAGCTTCAGACCCAACATTGCCATTTTCTCTGCCTTCAGGTAGTGCTCATCTTCGAATTGACAAAGAAATTTCGGATAGGCATCCGTGCTAATGTCTGCTTCGAGAAAGTTCCACTGCGGTATATCAATGGTGAACGGTTTCGTTGCAATATTGGGATATCCACTCGATACAACGTCCGATCTTGGCATCACGCCCGAGTCCATATGCCTACCATCACATATGCCGTTCCCCACAACATCAATGTTTGTAATTGATTGCGTCTGTTCCAACAACTCAGGTGTGTTGCAGTTCATTTGTTTAAAATGCTGATCCAGATAATTTCCATAAGAAACATCATTCAAGCCGTTTTCTGTTGCGCCACCACAAACGCCATTTGCTTCGGAAAGTATCACAACATCAGCGTCGTCCTCGCATTTAAGTACTGCGCTTATGGGCGTG